AATAAAAAAAAAAAAAAGAAATCATAATATAATCATATTTAAATACGTTACTGTGCATTATTATTATATGTATAATATAATATATATGTATAATTATTTTGTTAAATAAATTTTATATTTTATATCTACTTTCGATATATATTACACATACTTTACATTTACTATATATTACACATATATTATACTTTACTTTCGATATACATTTACGATTTACTTACACTTACTTTTCTCAGTATGCTAATTCAATATTCCAATTCAGTAAACCATCCATGTATGGCGTTGCGTTGGTACTTAATACTACTTATCCATTATCATTGAATCAATGAATTCAAATTTTTACCAAAAGTTTTTGACGTTACTTTCAGTTGTCATTATGCTGATCAAAAAATAATTATTACGCCTACGGCTGAAATTTAATATTTGTTTACTAAACAAAAAAAAAAAAAATGTCTAAGCCCTGGTAAAAGGAATAAATACAAAAAAAGAATTATTTTGTTTGAATATAATCCGAAAAGGGATAAATAATTAATTAATAATAATTTAACAAAAAAAAAAAGGAGAACATGTTATGCATGTTACAATTGTTACACGATAGCCTTTTTTTATTTTCCATTGGACGTACACAACTTCTTTTTCGTGTATCGAAGCGCAATTATAAGATTTTTATCGTTCGTAAGTATGCATAATTGGACCTACTACTTCGCATTAATGCAATTAAAAGCAAAACAATTAAAACATGTTCTTCATGTGTTCCAAAATTATGGGCTTTGTTAAAAGAAAATAATGTTTTGTTATAAATATTATATTTTTTTAATTAATATAAAATTATTATTTTCAATAATTCTTCTTTTTTGAAAAACAAGAGAAAAAAAGAGATTAAGAGAGAGAGAGTATGTGTTACCTAATAAATACTGTAAATAATAATCACTGCAAATAATCTACTAATCTCTTTTTTTTTAAAAAAAGAAAATCCACAATTTTTTTTTACTGTATCATAGGCAATGTGCATTATCGTTTATCAATTGTGCATTGATGATGCAAAAAAAAATGCAAAAAAAATGCTTAACGCATAAATAAAGATCTTCGAAAAGAAATTTCATTGAATTAATTGAACAATGAAAAATTTTTTTATGATACATAAAAATTTACATTAAATTTATTTAATTTATTTAATTTGTAAAAAATAATTACCAATCATATCAAACATTCCTTGTCGTACAATTTTGAAAAAACAAAGTTTAATCGGTTTATCCGAATTTTAACGGTCTTTGTTAAACAAAAGAGAATTTAATATTTATTGTAATTGAATCACGTATCAAATTTTTTGATCTTAATTATTTAACTATTATTCAACTATTATTATTCAACTATTATTAAACTATTATTCAACTATAATTCAACTATTATTCAACTATTATTCAACTATTATTAAACTATTATTAAACTATTATTTAACTATTATTAACTATATCAACTATTATCAAACTATTATTATTTAACTATAAATAAGAAAATAATAATAATCATTATTTAATAATATTCAGAAAATATGAAATTTAATGTACTGTACTTCCTGTAAGCCAAGCCCGGGCCAAGCAAAATTTCAATGTTCCTACATAAAAGGAAATTATGTGTACTGTATAAAGATTCCCTTTAAAAGTATGATTATTATTTGTTTTAAACATAAACATTAATGACAAACATATCTGTCATACAAGTAAAAGTACCATGTCTCTCACTTTAAATCTTTTTAACTAGTGGTTTTTTTTAATTTTTAACTCAAAGCCTCTTGTTTATACCGATTTTGTGTTCAAACCTCACCTCCTTAAAGTTTTCTCTTGTTATAAGGTAACAGGTAAATGGTAAATGTAATTTTCCACTCAAAAAACTTTTTCCGGTATTACATGCATGAAGTAAATGAGTTAAAACTCTTTATCTGATTAATCAACATATATAATATTAATATAACTATAACTTTTATATAAAAATCTAAAAATCTTTTATTATTATTATGCATTTAATTATGCAATTTGCGGTCTATTGTTTATTTTTTAGCTTATCAATTAATTATAATCTATTAAAAAAAAAAAATGTTTGCGCCCAATTTTTTAAATCTTTTTCTTTGTGTAAAAGAAGGCTTGAGAGTGAGAGATATTTAAAAATAATATGATTATAATCTTTTTTTTGAAAAAAAAAAATCGTTTTTTAATTTTTTTCTAGTGTAAAATTTCGATTAGCCGAGTTTGGAAGTAAAATTATGGTACAATATGATATTATAATAATATAACTATTTAAGGATTGAATGGCAAAAAATTATAATCTGGGCCAGGTTTAAAAGTCTAATGCTGGTAATATTTTCAGAAATTATGAATTTTTATTAGAAATTTCTGTTACGCAAATAAATAAACAAACAAATAAATAAATAAAAAAAAAATGCATCCAAAAAAAAAGCCCCAAAAAAAATTTTAAAGTTAATATATAGAATAAATAACCAGAATTTTCTGCGCCACTATTTCTTGGCGTACATACAGTACATAAGTTTAAAAGATTATCTGACCTAGCGGAAAAACCAAATATGTTTTACGGAAATTCCTATCAAAGAAAATCTATTCAAATTTATTAAATTTTACCACCGAATAAACACACGTTTTAGTTTACAAATAAAAATTCCCGGGTACTCATATTACAATGAAAAACAATGAAACAAAATTTACCCCTGCTGATTAAATAAAATGTTAAAAGGGGTTATTATTTCTTTATGATATACTTATTAACCAATCGCGTTTAAATGTGTAACTATTAATATTCTTTTACTGCGTAAAATGTTAAACAATAGTAAAAAGAATTTAAAGAATTTTCAGTTATTTCTTCGAATTTTTTTTATAATGATACCATTCGTTTAAGGGGGAGTTTCAACAAAAAAATCTATCACGTGATTGCTACCAAATTTCGCGTCATGATTTCTAATGATTTGGTTTGATAGTGCAAGTGTGTAAGTGTGTAACCGAATTCGTTTAATTCGGTTCTTATATTAAACAAACACATTCATTGATGCATAAATATATCATAAGACTAGGCATTGTTTGATACCCAACCGTTATCTATATGGTATCTATTTTATAAAACTTGATATTACTGTTTATTACTTATTGTATGGCTGTCTCTTATACACATCTAGATGTGTATAAGAGACGTTATCTATATGGTATCTATTTTATAAAACTTGATATTACTGTTTATTACTTATTGTATGGTACATGTATTCTAATTAATAATTCCTTCTTCTTTTTATTTTTTTTTTTTTGTTTCTTTAAAACTTTCGAAATTTCGTTTTTTTATTGCAACATTTTACAATTTAATATAGGATCTTCTTGTTTATTATTTATTTATTGTTGGTCTTTAATTATTGTTATTTTATCGATTAAAAAATTTGAAAAAACCCATTTTCGTAATTGTGCATCAAATATTTATTAATCCGGGGATGTTTTTTTTTATAAGCTTAATGATAGCTTGCATATGTCAAAAATAGGTAAAATCTGAGACAGATAAGTCATTGTATTCAACCCCCCGTTTATTTTGTTCTATGAAACAATAAAAAGTAGTTATTTAATATTTTTTTTTTATATATATATATATATATATTATATATATATATCTAATTTAGATATAAAAGAAAAGAAGAAAGATTCTTAAATTCTTTTTTTCTTTCAAGAATAAAATTATTTTTTATAGATAATTATTGATTACTAAATAAAAAAATATCCTTTTAAAGTGTCATTCAAATACTTTTTTCTTTATCTAAATAAGTAATTATTTTTATAAACAAATGATAATAAATGCATAAAAATATTTATTTCCCGTGCTTGTCAAAAAAAAAAAATTGATTTTTGTGTGCATGATTATTCGTTTATTCGTTGAGATTATCATCAATAAATCAAAAAAAAGAACGTGAAAAAATTCGCGACAAAGTTATTTTAAAAAAAAAAAAAAATTATTAGCAAATAAATATGATTGTATTCAACATTAAAATTACCATCTGTGAATTGCGACACTTTGCTTTTTGTCAAAAAAAAAAAAATTTTTTTTTTGTATTGAATATGTTTGAATATGTTTGAATATGTTTGAATATGTTGAATATGTTTGAATGTGTTCTAACAGATATGTGTAATACGCCATTTATTAAATTTTATGATACGTATGTGTATCCTTGACGAACTTTAATATTTAAAAAACTTTTGAAACGCGTTTTGCTGTAGATTTTTTAAGATTTAGATTAAAAAGATAAAGATTTAGATTATAACCAACGATTTATTTGATTTATTTGATTTCACGTGAATTTTCTTACTAATAAACCGTGACTGTTGTAATTTTGGTCGTAATTAACATATTCAATGAATTTATATTGTAATCGAAAATTTCAGTTTCTATCATTTTTTATTATATTCTAATACTGTAATCTTTCATTACATTATTTGTATTATTACATTATACAAGTATTCTAAATAAAATATCCTTCAGGATTTTCTATTATGTCTTTGTAATCAGTATTAAAAAAAAAAAAAGTTTCTTTTAATTATTAAAAGTAATGAAGAAGTAACGATTTAAAAATTTTTTATCATGTGATTGGGCAGTCACATGATTTTTACAATTTCAATAAAGTGGTGGTGTTTCAATTTCATCAATTTGTTTAAAAAAGAAAAAGGTTATACAAGTGACTAATTTCATTATTACAATCTACTAACTTTTGTAATATAGATTTACAAAGAATTCTTATATACAGTATATTCAGTAATGTGCATTTGTACTTCTAATGACATAAAATTTGGTTGGAAGCTTTCAATCCAAATGGTTTTATTAGAAAATTATGCTTCCAATCTTTCCAAAGGTGCTTCCAATAGTACTTCCAATATTCCAAGAGCACATCACTGAGTATATTTCTAACATCAAATGGATTCCTGTTAAAAAACTATTTAATTAATCTGATTAGCTAGTATTTATTTTTTTATTATGAGTACAGCCAAAACTCATTATAGTGAACCTTCAGTTCCAACTATTTTCATTCACTATAACAAATATTTACAAATTCTATGTATATTTAAACCAATGAATTATTTATAATTTTTTTATCTGATAATAATTTTATTAGTATTTCATAATATGATCTTGTAAATTTAATTTTTTATATAAATAATTTTATTATTATCATTCAATTATCAATAATAAAGTGAAATACCAATTCTAATTTTGTGTTTAAAGTGATTTATGAATAATATATCTAATGATTTTACATAATATTCACTATAACAAATATAAATTTATAATATTGTTTTATATAAAATTCTCAAAAAGTTTATTACTATATTTAATATTGAGATTTTATTAGTAAATTTATTATCCCTTAAATGGTAAAACATTGCAGGCAAATTTGCCTGCAATTTTACTGAAAATTCAGTTCTTATCTAAGGGGAGTTACATATATTACGTAATATTCAGTTTAATATAAATTTACTCCCCCCCCCTTGTCAGATTTAATAACCAATCAAATTATAATATTTATAAATTATATATTTTATTAAGTGTAATGTAAGATTTTAGTTACCTCTTCCCTTCCTTTAATAATTACATAATATCTGTAAGCTTCCTAATTTTATGAAAAATGAAGTTATTTTAATAAAATTTTTTTTTTGCAAAGAGCTTAAATCATAATTTATGTGACAATAATCATTATTTATTAATTACATATTATAAGATTAAAGATTGACCATTAGTCAAAAGTTGTATTTTTTAAATTTTGAAAAATTTTGAAAAATTTTGCATTTAATTTTAACAATCTCATTAGGATTTGATTGCAGCTATATTAAAGCTTAATAGAATATGTAGAATTATTTATGAAGAACAACTTTTGTTATAATGATTTTTAATGTTTAGAAGTGGCATTTTGATTTTATATAGAATCCTAAAAAATGAATTATTTTTGTGAACTTGTAAAAAATGCATAAAGTTAAATTTTATCATCTTTATTTTGTTCATTAGAGTGTGAAATTCTGATGTTATTTTTTTGAAATTAATTTATGACTAATTTTGGTGATTAGCAATCATTAACCATATATCAAAATCATACAATTAATGCTAGAATAATAGGATAATTCAAATCATATTGACAAACTTTATATTTGGATATAAATTTATTTTAAAAAATTGCAGACAAATTTGCCGGCAAAACCGTTTAAAGAAGAATTACTTTGAAAATATATTTTGCAATATTTTTTTGTTAAATTAATTAAAATAATATTGCAAAAACATTTTTTATTAAAATTATTTTGAAAAAATAGTTCATATTATTTTTTTAATTAAAATTACTTTGAAAAATATTTTGCAATATTTTTTTATCAAATTAATATTAAATTAATTAAAAATATTACAAAAACATTTTTTTAATTAAAATTTTCATTAAATTGATTATAAAAATGTTACAAAAACATTTTTTTTTATAATAATATATAGATGAACTTATTTATAATAACTATTACATAACTTATTTATAATAGCTTCCATTTTTAAAAATTTATATAATAAGTATTTTTTTATTTAATAAAAAAAAAGGAAAATTTAAAATGTATTATAAAATTATTGCAAAAAACATTAAAAAAAAATCATAAAAATTGTAAAAAAAAATACCATAAGAGTTATAAATACCAAAAAACCATAAAAATTAAAGAAAAAAATATCATAAGAGTTGTAAAAAATCATTATAAAAATTGCAAAGAAAACATCAAAAAGACATCATAAAAATTAAAGAAAAAGTACTATAAAGTTGCAAAAAAAAATACCAAAAAACTATTATAAAAGTAAGAGAAAATATCATAAGAGTTGTAAAAATCATTATAAAAGTTGCAAAGAAAACATAATAAATTTGCAAAGAAAATACCAAAAAAAACTACCATAAAAGTTAAAGAAAACATTATGAAACACAGGTCGAAATGCTAAAAATCGGCAAAAAAATGGCGCGAAAAGCGGTGGCTATTTTTGGCTATTTTTGGCTGTTTTTGGCTATTTGCGAATTAACCTATATTATTTGTAAATAGTTTATATAAACACAGGTCGAAAAGTGAAAAATTAGGCACCAATCGGTCACCAATCAGGTAGCTGATTGGTGACTGATTGGTGACCGATTGGCATTTTCGCCAAATACCGTCACCAATCAGGCAGTTTGCTAACTTTTGATCCAGTGATCAGAAAAGGATGAAATATAGCTCATTGGACTCGTCATAACATGACGAATCTAATGGTAGTAAAATCGCATTTCTAGGATTAATACTTGATGAGAAATTAAGTAAAATATAAAAATAAAAATGTATTATTTATATTTTATTTAATTTTTTATTAACTATTAATCCTAGAGATGTGATTTTACTACCATTAGATTCGTCTTGTTGAGATGATTCCAATGAGCTATATTTCATTCTTTTCTGATCACTGGATCAAAAGTTAGCAAACTGCCTGATTGGTGACTGATTGATTCCTGATTTTTCACTTTTCGACCTGTGAAATTTGCGAATAGTTTATGCAATTTGCGCCATTTTTTTGCCTGTTTTTGGTCATTTGACATGTGAAAGTTGTAAAAAAGCATCACAAAAGTTGCAAAAAAAAAATACCATAAAAATTAAAGAAGTAACATCATGAGAATTGTAAAGAAATATTATAGAAGTTGTAAAAAAAACATCAAAAAGAAAATGCCATGAAAGTTGTAGTATTAATATTATTTTTCTATAAAAAAATAACTTACAGTATTCAAGTTACTCATTTTCAAGTTATTCTATAATACAGAATCTCTATAATAGAAACTTTAATTTAATTTTAGTTTTATCTTTTTTTTTGCTCTGAACTTATAAAAGTCTCAATTTTTTAGATTATATAAGCATCATATAATATATATATTAGCTAATCAGAAATTAAAAATTTATAAATTATATAATATAAAAATTATATAATATATTTATTTATTGTATTTTATTATAAAATGATGAATCAGGTATACGATAATAAGATTTATATTTTATTATGTGTAAAATTACTTAGTTTTTGAATTCTTTTGTTTATAAATTTATCATCTGAACTGTTTTTAAATATTTACTTAATAGTATATAATCATTATTTATAACATTAAATAAGCTTATCATACTTAAATAATTTTATTTATTAAATTTTTTTTTTGCAGTTTTAGAACTTTTTTTTTTTTAGCATATTGAAAAAAAATTTGAAGTATAATAATGATTAATATTACAATAAATATAACTAAAAAAAAATCTGTAATTGATGCAAAAATTTAGATTAGTTTTAATTTTAATTAAATTTAATCAGTATATTTTTTTTTTTTTTTTTATATACTTTATTATAGATGCGATCATGTCTTATTATAATCACACTTACTTACATATATAAACTTACAAAATATAAGATAAACAAATACATATAAGAATTAAGCATTATGAAACAAGACTACTTTTCATAAAGAACAAGTCGACCTGTCACCTAAACGATCACATCATTGTTAAAAACCATGATGCAACCTCAAATTCAAAGGTGACTGTCATGATCTATCTAAAAATTTGCCTAATGACCACCTCGATGAAATGCCAAATCATTCCATTTATTCCAATTACTTTCTAACATATTACAGTCAACATCTTTCACATCCACTTCAGTGCGTTTATTATGTGACTTAGCTTTTTTATCTTTACCACTAATACCGCGCCACTTTTCTTCCTTTACTACACATTATAAATAACGTGCATGTATGATTCTTTCTTTATTAATAAAAGCTGTATGTACATACTATCAAATACAGAATGATGAAATAAACAAACAAAAGTTTCTAAATAATTCGTTAAAACTACTAAAAGAAGTTTACATATTTTTTTTTCAAACATAGTTTGCCATATATAAATATAATCAAATATGGAATGATGTAAATACTATAACAAAATTCAATAGATAAACTATCTATATATTTTTCTTTCTAACTAAATAGCCCTATGTAAATATTATCAAATAAGGAATGTTTAAAAACTCATTTTTTCGTTTTGATAATTTTAATTCTAAACAATTAGTCATCCCACAAAAGAAAATAGAAAAAATAAAACAAGAATAACTAATTATATACTTATATCTTAATACAACATACCTTGCTCTAATTTACGAGCTTTAATTGCATACTGATTAACCACGTAGTCATGAGTAACACCACGTGCACGCCTCCCTCTTCTAACACCATTACAATATGTCATTAAAAGACGTTTATCTCTAATACTATTCAATTTCTGATGAAATTCTGCCCTTGTAATAGGTTCTTGCCTCCCGAGTATTTCTTGCCAAGGAGCGACATTATCCTGTCCACTAATTTCCATTTCCTGAAGGTCCATAATAATATTATCTATTGTAGTACCTTGGCCAGCACTACTCGACTGTTCTGCTACCTTACTATCTTTTCATTCAAAAGAAGCTTCTTTTTTCTTTCTTAATTCCAAAAAATGTTCTTCATTAAAAGAATGATTTATAAAAATATCATCTTTTAACATTTTGTATCCGATTTCACTTGTAACTTGATCTACCAGAAACTCCATTTCTTTTTCTGATATATAATGTTTCTTAAGGATATCACTTCTACGTTTCAACTTATGTTTGGAAATGAGTACTTTTGATTCAATTCCATTATTTGTAAACTGCCATTTATTCTTGTTACTCTTGAGACTGTTTTTAAACCTCTTTTTATACTTCTCTTGTTCTTTCAACGTCTTAAATTGCTTATTTACCCGTAAATTTGAATACGTAACTGCATATTTATGTGTTCCACCATCCATTGAAACTTTTTTTGTATAAGACACGCCTACGCTAGAGATCCTGGGTGAAACTGAAATATTTAGTCATTTGACTAAACCAAAATAGTTTAGACATTTAAAATTAAAAGACGAAATGCTGAAATTCAATATTTCATAGTATTTCCATGGATTTTTTATAGATTTCCATAGATTTTTAATTATAATAATTACTTATAAAAAAAAATAATAAATTTATATTAAAATATAATATTTTTTAAAGGAATTTATAAAACTATTTTATGTATAATATAATTTAATATATTTTTATAATAAAATTATAATTTTATATAAATAAAATTTAAACTTAAAAAATATTACTATATAGTTTAGTCAATGACGAAACCGAAACTAGTTGGTGACGAAACCAAAATTTTTGGCAAAAAGAGTTTAGCCAGGTATCACTAGCCTACGCGTTTACTTATTACTTGTTTAACTTGACTAAAATCCTTAACACTGGTCAAAAACTAATATATCGGGTAGCAGATATGTATCAGATATGTACCTGATATGTGTAGTATTAATGCTGAAAATCGGGTACCTGATATGTGTAAGATATGTGTAAATATATATATCGTCTACATATCATTTACATATCATATACATATCGGTATCTGATATGTATATGAT